ATACGGCAGCGACGACAAGAGCTACGGACGCGGTCGCGGCCGATTCGACGGCGAATGCCATTATTGCCATAAGAGCGGACACATGTGGCTCGATTGCTTAAAACTCCCTGAGGGATGGACCCCTGCTCAAGGCCAGGAGGGTAGAGGAGCAGGAGGAGGGAGAGGAAGAGGCCGTGGAGGCCGTGGCGGTCGCGGAGGCGGAGCTGCAAACATGAAGAACGGAGATAACGACAAGGACTCGAGGGATGATCAGTACCCGGGTCAATTCTACTTCGTGTCAACGCAAGCACCAGCTGGTCCAGAGAAGGATGAAGGCTTTGAGGAGCCAGCAGCTGTGGGGAAGGTGACCCTACACCCCCTGGACTATTGGGTGATCGATAGCGGCGCTACCTATAGCATGACACCTCGCGCGGACTTGCTCACCGAACTTGAGCCGTCACCGGTGAAGCATGTCACATTGGCCTTGGGAGAGCGAGCAGAGGTGAAAGGCATGGGCAAGGCCATGTTCAAAGGTGCTGATGGGAAGATGGTGGGCCTCAAGAACGTGCTTTGGGTGCCCAGCCTTGCTGCGAACCTGATTTCCGTGCGGCGGTTGGCAAAGGCCGGCATGGACACGAACTCGAAGGGAGCCAAGACCTACACCGCAAGGATTGGCGAGCGTATTCTTTAGAACCTTCACGAGGATAGGGATATCTACAACGAGATGTGGCAGGTCCCTGTGGTCCCAATGCCTAAGGAGAGGCAAGTGGCAGCAAGCGGTTGGTACCAGTGAAGGAGCGAACGGTCGAGCTAAGGAGAACGAGCCTAAGACGAGCAATCTTGGAGGGACAAGCAAGCTTGGTGATCCTAAGGAGAGTGGTGCAGCAGCTAAGGAGCAGCACAAGGGTGAGGAGAACCCCGAGGCGGCAACGGAGGAGGAGTACGGAGAGAGCATGTGGGGCGCTATTGCGAGCGCGGCATTCTCCAATCCAACTTCGGCTACGGGGGAGTGTGATTGGCTCACCTTGCATCGGCGAATGGGGCATGTGGCCCTACCTATCTTGCAGCAGCTAGTGAAGAATCAGATGGTTGCTGGCATACGTGTAAAGGGGGAGCCTGATGAGGTGCTTGGCTGCCCGATGTGCATGCAAGCCAAGTTTACCCGGTTTCCGTTCTCGAGCTCGGAGGCAATGGCTAAGGACCACTTGATGAGGTAGTGATGGACGTGGTGGGCCCCCTGAAGCTTGGAGCTGCTGGAGCTGAATATTTCCTCACCATTGTCGACGTCTACACCCGCATGACTTGGTGTGTGTGCTGAGGGTTGCGTGCTGTCCAAGAAGAGCGATGTGGCTGAAACGTTGAAGACTGATTGGTTGCCGATGGTGGAGCGGCAACAAGACCGACTAGTGAAGTCGATCCGCACCGATCGAGGGGGAGAGTTCCTGAGCAAGGAGTTCTAATTGTGGCTAAAGAAGAATGGCATACGACACTCCCTTCCAATGCCATACTCCCCTGCAATGAACGGCATCGCCGAGCGAGCGAGCCGGACCATCATGGAGACGGCACGCAGGTTACACATTGAAGCCGGGTTACCCGACTATTTCTGGCCTGATGCGGTGCGGAGTGCGTGTGTGGCCAAGAACAGAGCTTTGACTCATGTGGGAGCAGACAAATGGGTGCCCTATGTGGAGTGGCTTGGAAGGAAGCCAAATATGGATATGCTTCGGGTGTGCGGGTGCATGTGCATGGCGCTCGTGCCTAAGCATCTCCGTCACAACAAGTCGGCGGTGTTCCGGCGCAAGGGATGCAGTCGTCGGCGGCTGCAAGGTCCTTTCAGGGCGACGTCAGAGGATGTGGAAGCAGTTTACCGTCGATGTCTGCGACCCACGTGATCGCTGGAGGCATCCCACCGAGCCACGGCTACTTTGCTGGTCAGTCGCCCCAACATCCTCACGTGGAAGGAGGCGATCGAGCCCCAGTTGGAGATTGGCGGGCTGATGGGCTTCGCCGCCCGCACTGTGGCGATGCCGCCAGAGAACTACCTTGAGCTGCATGTTGAGTTTCGCGTTGTGCAGCTGCTGACCTTCACGGTCATCTCGCAGTGCTGCTCGTCAGGGGTGCAGTTTGCCTTGAAGTCGTATAGGGACTACCTGGACGCCAGCCACCAGGCGTAACACTTGTACATCTGCCAATCGACATACCAGGACACCGACGTGTCAGAACATAATGCTTGTCTAGTCTGTAGTGGGGTACTCAATAGTGAGTATAACCCTTTTGGGCTTGCTATTTGTACTCCGCTTCTTTCTAGTTCAATCATCTTTCCTCTTCTACTGCTTGCACTTCTCTTTCGTGTACCCTAAACCTAGCTATGGCTTCTTAGTCTTAGCTACTATTTTGTCATGGAATCAGAGCGGTTCCGCTCTTGGCCTGTGGGCCCCACGTGCTTCCGCTGCTTTCCTGTCTGTCGCGCGCCCCGTGGCGCGCGACGTTTTTTCTTCCCGCCGCGCGTTCGGGTCGCGCGGCGGTTCGCTGCTCCGTCGAAGCGCCCCCCCCACCCCCCCGTCGCCTGCAGCAGACCCGTCCGTCACCCCCGCTGCCCCGTCGCGGCGCCCTGGGGAGCCGCGCGCGGCCCCGCAGCCACGTCGCGGCGCCCTGGGGAGCCACGCGCGACCCCGCAGCCATGTCGCGGCGCCCTGGGGAGCCGCGCGCGACCCCGCAGCCGCGTCGCGGCGCCCTGGGGAGCCGCGCGCGACCCCGCTGCCCCGTCGCGGCGCCCTGGGGAGCCGCGCGCGCGACCCCCGCTGCCCCGTCGAGGCGCCCTGGGGAGCCGCGCTCGCCCCCCTCCCGCTGCCTCGTCGTGGCGCCCTGGGGAGCCGCCCGCCGTCCCCCGAATCGCTCACGGATCGCCCCCCCCCTCCCCCCCGCTGCTGCCTCTGTTAGGGTTTGGGGGTGGCGCGTGTGGGGGTGGCGCGTATGGGGGTGCTGGTTGTGTGCTCCGTCCCCTGCTCCTCCTCCTCCTTCGTCTCCCACTGCTGCAGCTGCCGCTGAGGGGGGTGGATGTGTGGGAGCCGAGGGTTTAGGGTTTAAGTGGGGGTGGCGTGTGAGTGGGGCTAGGGATGCAGCAAAGGGGTGTGTGATAGGGGGGTGTGGGACTGACAGGGGGGGGTGAGCGGAGGTCGCAGTCGTGTCGTCTGCAGTGCCTGTAGTCCGGAGCCCTCGTGCTCTCGGTAGCCCAGCGAGCCTGCTGTGCCAGTCGCCTGTGGGTCTGTTGCTCCTGCCGCTCCTCGTAGCCGCGGAGCCTGATAACCCTCGTAGTCCAGTGCCCTCGTGCGCTCGGTAGCCACTGTGCGCGCCGCTCCTGTTGCCCGTTGTGTCTGCAGCTTCGCCCGTCGCCTGCAGCAGATCGCCCCCCACAGTTTCTCCTCCTCCTCGCTTGCCCTCTGTGTTAGTCTCTAGCCTTTGCTTATCACTATGATCTACTGCTCTGAATGCTTGTTGTGCTGGCTGTACCCCACCTTGACTATGGGGGTGTGTCAGAACATAATGCTTGTCTAGTCTGTAGTGGGGTACTCAATAGTGAGTATAACCCTTTTGGGCTTGCTATTTGTACTCCGCTTCTTTCTAGTTCAATCATCTTTCCTCTTCTACTGCTTGCACTTCTCTTTCGTGTACCCTAAACCTAGCTATGGCTTCTTAGTCTTAGCTACTATTTTGTCACGACGACCTGTACATCTGCCAGCTCGAGGAGCAGATGACGCATCTGCGGATGGGCGAGCAGGAGACGGCAACCATGAGGATGGCCGATGTGCAGTACTCAACGGCGTCGTATGTCACGCTTCTCCTAAATGGGCCCCCAAGCAGCTACACCCTGATGAAGTGGCTGTCGCTGGTGCTGGGTACGTGTGCGACGCTCAACGAGGACTCTCTGACCTCGTTGATACCGCGCGACGAGGCGATGCAGGAAGGCGAGCGGTCTTCGGAGCTCCTGCCACAGGCGAACTACGTTGCCCGGCGAAACACGCTGGTCGATCGGGGCAACCCGGGCAGTTTGGTGGCGGTGGAAGTAGTGGTGGGAAGCTAGAGAAGGACGCTAACAAGAAGAAGCTGGCCCATGACCGCGGTCGAGGAAGGGAAAGTCGGCGTTGTTGGTGCAACCTCATGGTGTGCACTCGGCTTGTTGTCCGTCTGCGTGCATGCGTGTGTGCATGGAATGGTATGAGTGCACGAAATTAATACATATGCTTATAATAGTATGTGCATGATGGGTCATGACGTCGAGTGTGTGTGTGTCAAGTCAATAGCGAGTTATCGCTAGTCGCGTGTTACGCGGTCATTTTGTGTGTCCCGCGCAGTTTCTATTTTGTCGTGCGCGGTTTCTATTTTGTCCTGTGTCGAACGTTCGGCATGTCGCAGGTGTGTGCAGCAGACCCATCAAAAACTCAAAGTTGAGTCAAGGATGAAGAACCCGAGCCTTGGTTTCAAGCTTCAAGTGATTTCGAAGCTCCTCAAAAGGGTACACCTCAAGATAATGAGAATCGTTACACTACTTTGTGCAGTGTAACGTCCTTTTTGGTGTAGGCCCTTGTGAAGGGTAGTTTCGAGACCCTTCGTGGTTGGGGACAGTGTGGCACTGTTCCACATCACTATACCTCGGCTCTTAGGGTTTGTAGCAGCTGGGAGTCATTCCTAACTCGTAACTCTTCAACTCTTTATGAAATCGTGGGAACTAAACTGCCTATTGTAAGTGACGTTAAGACACTCTAGATCCAAGTTTAATCATGTTATTTGGAGCTGTGGTCAGATCGCTATGAACGTTTAAAGCCGCTGTGCAGAAATCTGTGTGTGCTCTCTATATTTCAATTTAGGCACATTAAAGCCTACTATGTCTATAACAAGTAGTATCAGAGCGCCTTGGAGCAGCTTGGACGATGGCTGGACCTGAAGAAAGGGACAACAGAGGTGCTGGTGGCAGTGGAGGACCCCAAGCACAAGGTCAACCCCGTGATTCAGCCACGGCGCCCATGCAACCTACTCTTGGACCTTCAAGGGATGAACCAAGAGTGTTCGGGCTTGACAAGTTTAATGTCGACAACTTTGCTGAATGGTCCTTCAGAATGGAGAACGTGTTTGGCCTTTATGACCTGTTGGAGGTGATGGAAGGAACGGATAAGCGTCCCGAGAACGACCCGGAGAAGAGCTCGTGGGTGTCTAAGAGCGCACAAGGCTATCTACTACTTGGGCAAGCATTGAGGAGCAGCCAAATCCATCACATCAAGCCTTTCCAGCGTGAACCAGAGAAGGGACCTAAAGCATGGGCTGCTCTCAAGGGTGTACACACTCCTGCAACAGCGGCGGTAGCTGTGGTGTTGGAAGGGTAAATGGCGACACTACAAATTCTAGAAGATGAACCCGTGGAAGTAGGGGTGCAGATTCTTCGACTTGTTGATACGGCTTGAGGAAGCTGATTTGAACTACAGTGAGCTCCAGAAGAAGACCAAGTTGCTGGCCCTACTCCCCGAATCGTGGTCCTCGCTTATCATCAACTTGAACTGTGATCCTTCAAGCGGACTTCCGCCGCCGTCAGTTGGCGAATGCGGATGGCGCTAGGGCAGCAAGCATCGGCCGTGGATATGGCCGAGGAAGAGGCAGAGGACGAGGGGGAGGAAGGTTTGGAGGCAGCAACTTCAGTGGAGGCCGCAAAAGTGGAGGTTACGGCAGCGACGTCAAGAGCTACAGTCGCGGAAGCGGACGATTTGATGGCGAATGCCACAATTGCCACAAGAGCAGACACATGTGGCGCGATTCCTACAAACTCCTAGATGGTTGGATCCCTGCTCAAGGCCAAGAGGGTAGAGGAGCAGGTGGAGGGAGAGGAAGAGGCCGTGGAGGCCGTGGCGGTCGCGGAGGTGGTGCTGCAAACATGAAGAACGAAAAAAACTACAAGGACTCGAGGGACGATCGGTACCCGGGTCAATTCTACTTCGTGTCGACGCAAGTACCGGCTGGTCCAGAGAAGGATGAAGGCTTTGAGGAGCCAGCTGCCGTGGGGAAGGTGACCCTACACCCCCTGGACTATTGGGTGATCGATAGCGGCGCTACCTATAGCATGACACCTCGCGCGGACTTGCTCACCGAACTCGAACCGTAACCAGTGAAGCATGTCACATCGGCTTTGGGGCAGCGAGCAGAGGTGAAAGGCATGGGCAAGGCCATGTTTAAGGGTGCTGAAGGAAAGATGGTTGGCCTCAAGAACGTGCTTTGGGTGCCCAGCCTTGCCGAGAACCTGATTTCCGTGCGGCGATTGGCAAAGGCTGGTATGGACACGAACTCGAAGGGAGACAAGACCTACACCGCGAGGATTGGCGACCGGATTCTTTGGGACCTTCACGAGGACAAGGACTTCTACAACGAGATGTGGCAGATCCCTGTGGTCCCCATGCCTAAGGAGAGGCAAGTGGCAGTAAGTGTCAACACCAAGGGTGATGCGATTGGTAGAGGTGATGGCGCGAACGGTTGCGTCAAAGAGAACGAGTCCAAGAAGTGCAATCTTGGAGGGACCAGCAAGCTCGGTGAACATAAGGAGAGTGGTGCAGCAGCCAAGGAGCAGCACAAGGGTGAAGAGAACCCCGAGGCAGCAACGGAGGAGGACTACAGAGAGAGTATGTGGGGCGCTATTGCAAGCGCGGCATTCTCCCATCCTACTTCGGCTACAGGGGAGTGTGATTACCTGTCTTGCAGCAGCTAGTGAAGAATGAGATGGGGGGGAAAGGGGCAAAGGGAATGAGCTAGCATACGTGTGAAAGGGGAGCCCGATGAGGTACTTGGTAGCCCGACGTTCATGCAAGCCAAGTCCCGTTCTCTAGTTCGGAGGCAACGGCAAAGGCACCACTTGATGAGGTGGTGATGGACGTGGTGGCCCCCCTGAAGCTTCGAGATGCTGGAGCAACACTGTAGTTAGCTTGGTCGACCGACAGCACAGCATGGTCGACCGCCTGCCAGCGTTGCGTAGAGGAGCCGCGCCAGCACTGCAGAAAGGCGACCTTCCAAAAGAGCAGGTCGACGGCGTGTCAACGCAGCAGCAAAGTGGCTATCCAGTGTTGCCCCGTAGAACACAGCAGTGCGCACGCTTGCAGGTGCGCGCAGACGATTGGCCCGACTTGCCTCGTTGGGCATCCGTCGGCTGTTGTCTGCATCGCCTTCGCCATCGCGGCCTCTGCAGAACTCGTTGAGCAGGTTACCCGGTCGACCCGGTCGACTAACAGATGCTCCCGGTCGACCACCACTGCCTCTGGTCGACCACCACTGCCCCTAGTCGACCACCCGGTGCCTCTGGTCGACTACAGCTCCTGTCGAGCTACCCCCTGGTAGACGGACCCCTTCCGTCGACCAGAACCACCAGCGATTGTCACCAAGGTCCCCTCGTCGACCGCTGCTCACTTGTCAGGTCGACGGCTGCTCTATCGACCTCCCCGGTCGAACTGTAGGTCGACCGGCAGCTTTGTCGACCCCCTGGTCAAACTGTAGGTTGACTGGCAGCTCCGTTGACCTTCCGGTCGAACTGTAGGTCGACAGGCAGCTCTATCGACCTCCCAGTCGAACTGCCCCTCCTGGTCGACGGCCCACCCGTCGCCCAAACCATTCAGTTGCAGCTGTCGAACTCACTGGTCGACAGCAACACCACAGCGGTCCCCTGCAGCTCGACAAAGCATGTTGAGCAGCTCTTCCACTGTGAACCATCGTACATCCGACCAAGTCGTCGGCGTTGCCCAAGCGAGGGCGGGGCCAACACTCCACTCCCGTTAACAGGCTGCAGGCATGCAACTCCACGGCGGCTGCAGGGGCATGAAACGGCATAGCGGCTGCAACGGCATCCAACGGCACGGCAGCTGGAGCGGCATGCAATGGCACGGTGGCTGCGGCGGCATGCAACAGCACGGAGGCTGCAGCGGCACGCAATGACACGGTGGCTGTAGTGACATGCGACGGCATGACTACGGCGATTGCAGATGTGGCGTCAAGCAGGCCGGAAGCTAAGGAAGGAGCGGCCAGCCTTGAGACATACGCGGTGGGCTCGCCCAACGCCCAGCCTGTGGCAATGCCTAACCAGTGGCGCGCTGGCATTGGACACTGTCAACGGGAGTTGTTGTGTGGCCCCGTCCTCGCTTGGGCGGAGCCGACTTCGTGGTCGGGTGTAGGGGTGCAGCCGACCTGCAGCAGTGGGCGAGCTGGTCGACGAGGTTGGTCGACCTGCACGGGGAGCCACTGCATGGGCGCCGACTTCGGGAGGGCGCTAACTTCGGGTGGTCGACCTGGGAAGTCGACCTGCAGAGGGCGTCGACCTGGTGACGCCGACTTCGGGTAGCCGACTTTGGGGTCGGCTGACAACCGTGCTGGTCGACGAGGAGCTGGTCGACCAGGAGTGACGTCGACCTTGATTTGGTTTACCAGAGGTGGCCGTCGACCTGGTGAGGTCGACCAGAGGTGGCCGTCAACCTGGGAGGTCTTCGGGCACATACAAGAGCTGCTGATCGACCTGGTTGCCCGGTCGACCATGTTACCTGGGTGACGAGGTTCTACGGAAGAGTGCGACGGTCGCCCAGGTGGTTTTGGCGAGGACGACCTCAGTGGTGGTATCCCGAGGTCGACGTGGCTGATCAGAAGCAGTCGTCAGCACGAAGTTGACGTGGTGTGTGCGCTGTGCAGGTGACGAGGCACTGCACGCCAATCATCTGCGAGCACCTGCGAAGCAGGTGCACTGCTGTCTTGCGGGAGCAACGTTGGCACGCCGTCAACCTGCGACGTTGGCATGCCGTCGACTTGCGGCGTTGGCAAGCCGCGACTCTGCACTGCTGGAGCGCGGTCGACCAAGTCGTGCTGGCACGCGGTCGACCGTGCTGCGCTGGCAGTAGAGTTGCATGCATGCTAGCTCTGATGTAGTCTCACCTTGTCAACTTCTTTGTATCATTGTTGTCAACTTTCTCTAGTGAAACTCTTGCCAAATTGCCCCGTGAACTAGCAAGCAGTGTGAGCACTAGGAAAACGACTAAGGAACAGAGAACGCAGAGATCACACGAGCACCCATGCCTAGCCCGTAGTCTAGCTCCCGTTGTAGTAGTTATCTCCGCATGGTGCGGTGAGCGTGGACGGCACGCGACTTACCTTTCAGTCTAGTCGACTTAGTTGCACCTTACCTAAGTTGTTCGTAGGCCGGCAGCTGTGCGGTAGTCACCATGGTAGGCGCCGTAGGTGACGCGGGAGCAGTGGACATTTTGGAGGCACAGCTGGAGAACGCGAGGAGAAAGCACGAGGCTACCGAGTATGGCGACCTGCCGTGGGCGGTCGTCGAGGCCGGGCTCCGCACCATATGGGCGTCGGAGCACCCTTCTCGGCCTGCTTCTCCTCGACCGGTGAACACCGAGGGCGGCGTCGACGTGGGCGTCAACGCCGGTGGTGACCAAGTCGGCAGCAGTGCGGGAGGCACGTCGAGGCAGCGTGCTGTGAATCACGCCGATGAAGTCGGCAGCGTTCGGGCGCGAGGGATGCGGTCGTCGGCGGCTGCAGGCTCCTCGCAGGGTGACGTCGGAGGTCGGCGAAGTGGATCTTTGCCGATGTCGGCGACCCAGGTGACAGCAGGCGGGATTGCACCGAGCTACGGCTACTTCAAGTTTACGCTGGATAGGATCTTGGTGACTCCCCCGCTGGTCGGTCGACTTGACATACTCACCTGAAAGGAGGCCATCGAGCCTCAGCTGGAGATGGCCGGGCTGATCAACTTTGCTCGCGGTACCGTGGCGACGCCGGACGACCCCGACTTGCGAGCTGAGTTCCGCGCCGTGCAGCTGTTGACCTTCACGGTCAATTCACGGTGCTGCTCACCGGGCGTGCAGATCGCCTTAAAGTGGTGCCGAGAGTACCTCGACGCCGGCCACCAGGCGTGGCACTTCATCGAGTCGACCTACCAAGTCACCGACGACTTGTTCATCGCCCAGCTAGCTAGAGGGGCAGCTGACGCACCTGCGTATGGGCGACGAGGAGACGGCGACCGACTACTGCAACCGGGCCCGGCGAATTCTCGCCACCATCAGGATGGCCGGCGCGCAGTACTCGACGGCGTCGTACATCACCCATGTCATGCAGGGACTCCCGAGCAGCTACAACCTGCTGAAATGGCTCTCGATGGCGCCGAGCACGCGTGCGATGCTCAACGAGGACATGTTGACCTCGTACATCCTGCAGGACGAGGCGATGCAGGAGGCTGAGCGGTCCCAGGAGCTCTTGGCGCAGGTGAACTACGTCGCCCCGGCGAAGCAAGGCGGTCGACCGGGGCAACGTCGACAGTCTAGCGGCGGTGGTAGCAGTGGCTCAAAGTCGGCCAAGGAAGTCGACAAGAAGAAGTCGACCAAGGACAGCGGTCGAGGAGGAGGAAGTCGACGTCGGGAGTGCTCGCAGTGTGGTGATCCCGACCACCTCTCCTTCGAGTGCCCTGACCGCAGTGATTTCGACGACGACATGGGAGGCCACGGGAGATCTGGCAGTCGTCGTCCTCGACAAGGAGGAAACCAGTCGCGCAAGGAGAAGTCGACCAAGTCGTCGACCTCGGCGAAGGACGCCGACTCCTCTGCTGGCGGCAAAGGGCAGGACGACAAGTCGGCGTCGTGCTCTCTGGTCGGCGTCGTGGAGCCGACCGTCTCACTGGCGCCGGAGGCCGGCGAGGACTTCCAGGCGGTGGCAGCAGCTATGCAGGTTAACCCGACGGTGGTCCTGCTCGACAACGGCTGCTCGCACCACCTGATGGGGACGAAGGCCGCCTTCGTCGACCTGGGGCCGAGCGGCGACGTGAAGCACGTGCGTGGCTTCAATGGGGCGCTGCAAGACGTCAAGGGCCGGGGCACGGTTGCGCTGCAAGGGGAGGCCGGGAAGAAGGTACTCATCCCCGACGTGCAGTACGTCCCGGGTGTGCGGGCCAACCTGCTATCGTCCGGCTAGCTGAAGAAGCACGGCGTAAAGCTGAATGAGGATGGCAACCGGATGCTGCTCGTCTCGGCAGCGGGAGAGCAGCTCGGTCGGGCAACGTACTCCGGGCGTGTTCTCTGCACCGACCTGCGTCCCTGCTCAACGAGGTCGACGTCGGCTACGCCGGAGGTTGTGGCCTTGCGGGCAATAGTCTCGAAGACGAAGTCGCACCGGACAGGATGCATGCGCGGCTTGCACACGTCGGCATGGGCACCATCCTGCGCTCGGCGAAGCACGAGGTCGCCACTGGGCTGGACCTCAAGTCGGCGTCCGGCGGCGACTCGCCGTGTGTCTCGTGCGTCGGCGGGAAGCTGGCGCGGCACACCTTCCCCGACCAGGGCTCCGACGCCGACGACGTGCTGGCTGTCGTGCACATCGACCTGTTCACGCCGTTCCGGGTGGCCGCCAAGGATGGCAGCTTGTACTTCTTGCTAGTGAAGGACCGTAAGTCCCGCTATTTGTGGGTGAGGCCGGTCGCCAAGAAGTCGGACGTGCTGCTGGAGTTCCAGAAGTGGCTGGTGCTGGTGGAGCGGCAGACGAAGAAGTCGGTGTTACAGCTGCGCTCCGACCGAGGCGGGGAGTTCCTCGGCCGGGAGTTCACTGCCTTCGTGGACAGCAAGGGGATCGTCCACGACCTGACCTGCCCCTACACCCCGCAGCAGAACGGCATGGCGGAGCGGGAGATGCGAGTCGACGGCGGTAGAGTCAATGCGGACGATGCTGCTGCACATG